CAAAGTGGAATAATATCAGAAAGATTTATTGATAAAGGATATAAGAAAGAAATAATACAAAAAGAAAGGGAGCAAATAGGCCTTATGGACCGTAATGTATTAATAGCAGACAAACACATAAAGAGAATACTGAAAAGGAGGAATTGGCGGTAGTGTTGAGTTATAATAACCCATTAAAAATCAATACAATACAAAACATAATAAAGAAACATAGGAAGATCTTAGCATTAGATAAAACACCTGAAAAATAATATTCCCACAATACCTAGGTTTTATATATACAAAAGCTCCAAATATTAGGGACAAAGTGGTGAAGAGTATAATAGCACCACCTGTTAAACATCAACAAATTAGTTTTTTTTCAAGGAAAAGGGTTTTATACCTGTGGATAGATGCTATAATTGCATCAGACTGAAAAATAACCCCAGGAGAAGATTTACATTTTCAGAACCCCCTAAATGAAAAGGAATACACCACCACCAGCAATTTATATCATGTGAATACAAGAGGGTTAATCTATGCCCTCAAATGCCCATGTAATCTCATCTACATTGGACGCACGAAAAGGATGTTAAGGGAAAGAATAAAAGAACATGTAATATAATATAAACAGAGGATACAAGTATCACCACTTATCGCAGCATTTCAAAAAATACCACAATAAAAGATGCAAGAAAATTAGAGTTCTGGGGTGTAGAAAAACATGTACAACACTGGAGGGGAAGATAACCTGATAAGGGAAATTAGCAAGAAAGAATCGAAGTGGATCTATGAAATGGGCTGTCTGGCTCCCCCAGGGGTTAAAATAAGGAGTTTTTGACCTTACATGCTTTATTAGTAACAAATAAGTATAGAAATAGTTCCCAATCTAACTTTGAGGCGTTGAATATATATAGATTGGGGGATTGAAGTAATGTATCTGACATGAATTTAGGAATATGTGGAGTGAGTTTAGGGTAGAATTAGAGAATTTTCCATGACTAGCACAAAACGCATGTAAGTTATATCAAGTATCATATCCTCAAGTAATACCTTCTTAAATACAAAACCAAAACCCAGATGTAAAGAAAGATGTAAGTTAAATAATATCTCAAAATTGAAGGAATAAAGATAATTAATGACAAATAGGTTACTTGAGAAGAAACATACATGCGTTTTCTATTATTTATTTTTTTATTATCTTTTATTATTTGATTTTTTTAAAAAAAAAAAATATTTTTTTTTATTTTATTTTATTGGTTAAATTTAAATTTTGAATTTTATATTTTTAATATTGTATTATTAATAAAACATGGTTTTAATTTAGCCTAATAGGTATACTTTCAGCAATATAATGTATAGCCAACAGCCACTGTTTAGAAACTGCAGAGCAAGAGACAGATCACAGCTGACCCAGTTAGCAATGTCTGGCAGACAGATATCACGTTATAATTTGAGTAGACACACAGGTGTAAACACTCACCATACATAGATTTAAGAAAAATCACTGGGAAAATGGCCGCGCCCATTGGGCTCCAGTAAAAAGGCGGCCGAGAGATATAAATAGGAGTATTAGCATAGTCGTGGCATCTAATCATTCCCCCTGATGATGAGTCACGTGACCCTGTGACGATACGCGTAGGGGAGGGGCTCTGACGTCACGACATTGCACTGGAGAGGCTCGGTGATCTGAATACAGACACAGGTAGACAGCACTGCAGGAACAGAGGCAGAGCACATTTTATGCTGGACTACAATTGTATACTACTGTGCAACTGGCAGCAATAAACCCCCTTTTTGCACAAGGATAAGACACTATGGTCTGTTTGTTGTCTTCCTTTCTCAATTGAACAACACCCTTTGAGCTGATATAAGGAGGACTGGAAAAGAAACAGCCCCAGGAGGGGAATTGGGAGATCCTCAGAGAGATGGTCAGTATACCCACTCATGAGCAGCTACAGGAGAACAAATATAAAATCCACATCCCCTTCTGAGATAATTCAAGAGCATCATTCCATCCCATCTATCCTGGAAGGATAAAAAGTGTATTTGCCTGGAGTTTATTCAGGCAAATATAGAGGTGAGCACATAGGGAGACCATTAAGCACTCGGCGAGAGGGAACAAAGAATCCACCTGCACATTTATTTTGAAAGACTTTTTTTTTTTTTTTTTTTTTTTTTTTATTGAATATATCATAAGCACGTGCACATAATATATATGTGTTTGCACAATATAAAATATAAGGATCACAGTAGAATAGAGGAGTATTTCTGATTTGTATATCACTGTACTTTAATAGGCACTTTCACCTTAGGATTATCAGTTTATTAATGTCACTTGCATGAAGATTAATATTCACAATGATGTTTTGAGTCACTAGTAATAATTGTTTGATACATGCAGTATCTTGAAAGCTATTCATTAGCACTTTGAAAAGTATAAGATATACATATTGGTACATGGGAGCGCGGCACTATCTATTTTGAAAATATTATATATACACTAGCATATGAGTCAGTGCAAGTGCCAGCGAACCTCACGTGAGAAATAAGGACATCTAAAGTCACATATTGAACACCTCATTTCATAATAGCTCACAAGCATTCACCATTTATAGCAGTAAAACTAACTTTTCTCCATTCTACCCAAAATTAACAAAAAAAAAGATTTTGGATATGGAAACACATTACGACAAAGGTCTCACTTGTACTAAACACTGAACCATATAATACATGTTGAAACCTTGCACCATATAATAAATTAGTAAGTTTACCTAGTTAATAAAATCAGTTGGTTCCTTTTAAAGACCCAATTAAAGGCTAGCAGTAGACTGATATATAATAGTGTTAGTGTGTGCAAGTCCATTTCCTGAACATTTTTAAGTTTTCTTTTTTTTAATTTTTGGCTAGAGTGGACAGTTTACAACCCATTAAGAAATTTCTACTGCTATAATTTGTCTCTAGTATCTCCTATTTTGTGCCTAGGAACCATGAGGAGTGTCTCAGGGACAAGAAATGAAGAGGATGGAATCAAATAAATCGTTTTTAATGGAGTAGAGACAGGTTATATCTTCTGTCTTCTGACATTTTTATTGTTGTCAGTGTTCTCAATGGGGAGATTCTACACAAATATGTAATCTGCAAAAAATATTGACTAAAGCAGTACTAACCTTTCATACCCTCTCTAAAATGAACAAAAGCTTGAAAGTGGGTTTCAAAGTTCAACACTTGTCAATACTTTTATTAAGTTTGGATGGACTGGGTCAGAACCTGAACCAGGTTTGATTTCTCTCTATGTTTAAGGAAATATTTCATTTTTTTTTCCAGTTGTAAAAAATTGCCCTCACTAATTTTGCCTGACACCTATTAAATAACCGTGAAGTAGGAAGCATTTCCCTTACTCAGTCTGTCTGAATAAGGACAAATCTGACAAATGGAGACACAGAAAGCAATAGAGATCAGCCTATTTGCATTTTACCTAAAATGGGAAATTAATGGCTTGAGTTGCACTTTAATTTTCTTTTCATGTGATTGATTTCAGAAGAAGCAACTTGGGAGGCAAAACACGCTTTCAATCCAAGGCGTTGGCTAGTCAGGTTCTGAATGTAATTGTGGTTTTAATTCCATCACTTACTGATCCTATAAATTCGTAGCTGGCACAATGTCAGAATAGGAAACAATTTGCTTATTGCTCAGACATCTAACTCTCCTGTACCAACAAGATAACCAACTAACTGTTTTGGCAAATACAGCCGTTTGAAGGTATCACATCAGAAAGTCTTTGTCCACATCCAAACCTTCTATTATGTGAATTCATCTATAGCATTTGGAATGTTTGTTTTATTTATTCATACAGTTTATAACACCAACAAGAATAACTATTGAATAAATTTGAAAAACAAAAAGTACTACAGTAGACTACATAATTTCTTTATTATTTTAGGGATGCTGCCCTAAGCAATAATGTCCTTAGCTTAAATTTAGTGTTGCTGGGCTGTAGTCAGCTTGTGCTCTAATTGATAGTTCCGATTTCCTCAAGTTTTCCATAAGCTCAGTGTTATTGTTTGATTCTGCCTGCTATCCCTGTCAATCATGTGAAGAAGATCCAAAAACCTGAGCTTGAATATTTATGTCTCCCTGAACAACCATTATGAGGTTTACTGCCAGTGGTGCATGCTGGCTATATCCCAGGGAAGTGGAGCAGAAGCCCCAGAAGCCTGAAGTGTCCAGAATAGCGAAGTGGTGGACTGTGAAGTTGTGGTGGTTCATCCAAGGAGTAAGTGTGTTGAATGGAAGCTGCATTACAGTCTGAATAGTACAGGGTGATGGGCTGGCTTAAAGATCCTTTTTCCACAGTGAGAGTGGGTAGAGATCCCAAGTTTGTATTTTTTTTTTTGGGAGAGATCGTGTGCCATAATGCCTATCTCCCTGAGTCTATCAGCCCTATAGTATACACCTAAAACTTCCTAAAGTGACTTGTAGACAAACAATGAAAGTACAGCTCTAATGCTCCTATCACTGATATTAGCCAACATGACATGTAGTGAATTGGTGTAAATTGTATAAAACAGCTTGTCAGGCTACAATATGGTTGTCAGGGTTCCCGGGTATGACCAGAGGTTTGTGACTGACGCAGGGAAACGCAGGCTTCAGATAAGTTATAAACAATATAATTTATTTAAAGACTAACAATACAAACATAAACGCAGTGCAATACTAAAACATAACACAGTGCAAACGAACCAAACCAAACCACCCACAGATAACAAAACATACAATGCAAGCGTCGTCAGGCAGGCCGGGATCAACAACAGGAGGTCAGAACGTATAGGGTTAAGCAGGAGAATGGTCAGACAAAGCCAGGGATCAGAGCAGGAGATCAGAGCATCGGGCCCCCAGGCGGGGCAGCAGGCATCGGGCCCCCAGGCTGGGTGACACAGGCATCGGGCCCCCAGGCGGAGCGGCGGGCGCCGGGCCCCCAGGAGGGGCGACAGGCATCGGGCCCACAGGTGGGGCGACAGGCATCGAGCCCCCAGGCGGGGCGACAGGCATCGAGCCCCCAGGCGGGGCGACAGGCATCGGGCCCCCAGGCGGGGCGACAGGCATCGGGCCCTCAGGTGGGGCAACAGGCATCGGGCCCCCAGGCGGGGCGACAGGCATCGGCCCCCAGGCAGAGCGGCGGGCGACGGACCCCCAGGCGGAGCGGCGGGCGCGCGGGACCCCCAGGCGGAGCGACAGGTCTCGGGCCCCCAGGCGGAGCGGCGGGCGCCGGACCCCCAGGCGGAGCGACAGGTCTCAGGCCCCCAGGCGGAGCGGCGGGCGCCGGACCCCCAGACGGAGCGACAGGTCTCGGGCCCCCAGGCGGAGCGGCGGGCGCCGGACCCCCAGGCGGAGCGACAGGTCTCGGGCCCCCAGGCGGGCTGGACCCCCAGGCGGAGCGACAGGTCTCGGGCCCCCAGGCGGAGCGGCGGGCGCCGGACCCCCAGGCGGAGCGACAGGCACAGAGTCACCAGGCACAACAGTGGGCTCTGAGTCAACTGGCATGACCGCTGGCACTGGGTCAGACATTGGATCGTCTGGCTGGACAGCGAGCATCGGGTCACCAGGCATCAGGTCATTTGGCTCGACAGCGGGCACTGCGTCATCTGGCAAGGCAGTGGGCTCCGAGTCAACTGGCATGACTGCGGGCACTGGGTCAGACATTGGATCATCTGGCTGGACAGCGGGCATCGGGTCACCAGGCATCAGGTCATTTGGCTCGACAGCGAGCACCGCGTCATCTGGCAAGGCAGTAGGCTCCGAGTCAACTGGCATGACCGCGGGCACTGGGTCAGACATTGGACCGTCTGGCTGGACAGCGGGCATCGGGTCACCAGGCATCAGGTCATTTGGCTCGACAGCGGGCACTGCGTCATCTGGCAAGGCAGTGGGCACCAAGTCACCAGGCACGACAGTGGGCTCTGAGTCAATTGGCACGACAGCGGGCACCGGGTCATCAGGTACCGGATTGTCTGGCTCGACAGCGGGCATCGGGTCACCAGGTATGACAGCGGGCACTGGGTCACCAGGCATCAGGTCATTTGGCTCGCCAGCGGGCACCGCGTCATCTGGCAAGGCAGTGGGCACCGAGTCACCAGGCACGACAGCGGGCTCTGAGTCAATTGGCACGACAGCGGGCACCAGATCAGGTACCTGATCGTCTGGATCAACAGCGGGCATTGAGTCAACTGGCCTAATAGGATCATCAGGCTGGATCAGTTCATCATGCTGGGTAGAGGCATCAGGCTGAATGGAGGCATCAGGCTGAGTAGAGGCATCAGGCTGAGTAGAGGCATCAGGCTGAGTAGAGGCATCAGGCTGAAGAGAGGCATCAGGCTGAAGAGAGGCATCAGGCTGAGTAGAGGCATCAGGCTGAATAGAGGCATCAGGCTGAATAGAGGCATCAGGCTGGGTACAGGCATCAGGCTGGGTACAGGCATCAGGCTGGGTACAGACCTCAGGCTGAAGTGCGGGTGCCGAGGCACCAGGCTGAACCACGGAAGGCAGGTTCTCAGATGGCAGGCTCACCGGTTTGGATACTGGCAGGATGGTATTGGTTGGAAAGAATTTTCGCTTTTTTCTGGTTTTAACTACTGGAGCACTGCAAGTAAACGCAGGTCTGCAAACGAATGGAGCAGCTGGAGACAGAGAAGAGCTGGAGGATGGAACAGGGGAGGGAGCAGTTGCTACAGAGGGCTTTTTTACAGGGTTAAAGGCAGGATAGGTGCAGCGAGTGGGAACAGGGTACTGACATGCAGTAGATAGCAGGGCAGGAGGAGCTGTTGGGAATACAGGAGTAGAGCTTTGAGGAAATAGATTAGAAGCAGGACTGGGTTTTTGTAAGCTGACTGAGGCTGGGTGCAACAAATCTGTCCATGTCTGCAGTATGGGTTTGAACAAAGCTGAGCTTACACAAAGCCTGTCTGACCAAAGACTGCACTGCGTTTATACAATCTCTTAGTGTCTGTGGTGAACATGCAGAATAACGCTCCAGAAAGTAATCCACATCATCCTCTAATAACCATACCAGGGACTCTACCTGGTCGGCACTAAATGGCGGCAAAAATTCATCCCTGCATTCGGGGGTACCAGATGAAACCAACTCCGCACAAACCTGAATCAATGGCTGCACCTCAGAGAATTCTGTGCCCTGATCTACTAGAACATGAGCGAGCCGTATACATTCTAGCAGTTCATCCCTGGATACTCCTTCAGAGTCTGATAAGCATACTCTCTGTCATCAAACACTAGCAGATATAAATACACAACCTCATCAAGATCCATCCTTCCCATCAACAAACCGAGATGGCTTCCCTGTGCAGCCACTTCTGGTCAGGATGGGCCTTGGTGTAATGTCAGGGCTCCCGGGTATGACCAGAGGTTTGTGACTGACGCAGGGAAACGCAGGCTTCAGATAAGTTATAAAACAATATAATTTATTAAAGACTAACAATACAAACATAAATGCAGTGCAATACTAAAACATAACACAGTGCAAACGAACCAAACCAAACCAAACCACCCACAGATAACAAAACATACAATGCAAGCGTTGTCAGGCAGGCCGGGATCAACAACAGGAGGTCAGAACGTATAGGGTTAAGCAGGAGAATGGTCAGACAAAGCCAGGGATCAGAGCAGGAGAATGGTCAGACAAAGCCAGGGATCAGAGCAGGAGAATGGTCAGACAAAGCCAGGGATCAGAGCAGAAGAATGGTCAGACAAAGCCAGGGATCAGAGCAGGAGAATGGTCAGACAAAGCCAGGGATCAGAGCAGGAGAATGGTCAGACAAGCCAGGGATCAGAGCAGGGTCAGCAACGAATCAGACAGAAGCAGGAACAGGAACAGGGTAGCAGGAACAGGATACAGGGCCCAGGAGAAACACACACCAAGGCAGAGTCTGCAGGTCTGGCCATCCCTTAAATACACCAGTATAAGCAGTTTCAGGTGTTTGGCTGACTGCAAGGTTGAGTCTCTGATTGCTGGGAGCACCCGCTGGCCAGCCCTGGTACTGCAGCCCATAAAGCAGGTGAGTCCCACCATTGCTGGCCAGTCCATTCCTGACAATGGTGCAAACAAATGGCAGCCGATCTCACACAGCATGTTGACTCCCTATGACCAAAACTAAACCAGATAATGTACGATGGCTTCAGCTCTGCCCTCCACCCACATGAGAGGTCCCTCAGATGCATTTTGCCCCATAATGGCCTTAATCATTGAGGCCAACAATTAAGCCTACTGGGGGAAGAACACATTCGAGAGACCTCTCTTGTGGTTGGAAAGCAAAGCTGAAGCCATTTCACATTATCTAGTTTAGTTTTGGTCACAGTGGATCAGCATCTGTGTACAATTGGTTGCCATTTTCCTAAAGTGACTGGCACACAATTTCTTTGGTCTCCAACTGCCTTGATGGAGTAAGTGGGGTGCTATATTATTCTCTAAAACCATACCCAAAAGTATATGTTAGTTCCTGATAAAGGAAAATTATAAAGATGGGCATACAAAGAAATTTAAAAATAAGGTAAAATGTACACCAAATTCAGACAACAGTATCTCAACTCAGTAAGTTAGTAAATACCACCTATTGCTCAGAAATATAGACGTTTTACTGTTTAATGCCTTTGACAAGTCCTGTAATGACCTGCTATAGTAATAAAAACATAGCTAGAATAATAAATGTTGTATAAATCCATAGAGAATGTTGCAGGCCAGTTCTCAGCTCTGCAGATCACAAAAAAAATGCCAATCAGTTACAGTGCTGATTAGTGTATTCTAGGAACAGAAGAGTTTCTTCTGTATGAATGGAATCTGTTGCTGATAAAAAAAAACTGAATCCATGTACAGCATGCCCAAGATAGTACCCTCAGAAAGGCTGCTTAAAGTCTGTGGGTAATGAAATGTTTACACCTGATGCTTGACAAAAGAAAACACATTCTCAGGTATGTGGAACAACATCATGCTCAAGCTCAAGAAGTTATTTTCTTCTTCCTAGAATATCAGTAGGAAGAACCATATATTATAGTCACATAAAGATAAAGGCTGTATAATTCTTAGCTGAAAGACAGTACCCTGAGGCCTCAAGATCTATCATAGAAAAGGCTCCTTTAGCACTGCACAGTGTCACATTCCTTCAAGGTAGTTACATGAAGAACCTACAAAACCAGGTAGGATTTGGGACTTTTTACACTGCACTGCACACAAAAATGTAAATATAAAAATACAAATTTTTTATTCAAAACATTAAAAACCATCATGATCAAAACAACAGCTGATAAACAACTGGATTTTGTACAGAGACCGTCTTATAATTCATGGATTTATACGGAATAACTGGTGGCCATTTTGTGTGTTAGTGTTTATGCTGGCCACGAATAGTGAAAGCAAGCTTTGTAATGGATAAGACTCATGGATAGTGGAAGCTGTATTAACTTATAGGTGTGGTCAGCTGCTATATCTTGTTTTCCCCCTTTTTGTCCTTTGTGTTCAAGGCCTCACTTCGGTCTGTGGAAGAGATCAGCCCTTTCAGTGGACTATTTACACCAGTTATTTTTTGGAAGTAAATCTTAGGGGCATTTTCCCTCCCAATTTGGAAGGTATGCATTATAGTTTAAGGGGATATTTGGTTGATTATTTAGGAGCCTTATTTTTTATCTGAATTTGTATATGCCTCTTTTCTAGAAATTCATCTTTTCTAATTGAGGTGAACATTCAGCTTGCATACCTCTTCTAATTCTCCAATATTGGTAAAAACATGGTATCTTCTATATGCTACTATAGCCTACTCTGCTCTGTTTTGTACTATATAAATAATTTCTTCATGGTTTTTTTATGCTTTTTTTGGGGGGGGATCTATAGCATCCCTTGTATCCTCCTTTGAGGGATGAGTTATCTGTTGACACATTCAGCTGTATTTTTCTGAGGATTATGTATATATTCTGTAAATAATATAAATGACTGTGATAATTTTTTTGTATTGTCCTTTATGGTATTATTATATATTTGTGTATTCATAATTTTGATTGATGAAGATTTGTTTGAAAAATTGAAATGCGTTGGTGTTCATACACTTACCTGCAGTTGCTATTTCTCATGGATTATGGTCTGTACAAAGCCCATTTGTTGATTAGCTGTTGTTTTTATCATGATGGTTTTTCAATGTATCAATCTGAATAAAAAATGTTATTTTTATCATTTATTTGTTTAATTTTTTGTGTGCAGTGATTAAAAAATCCCAAATCATGCCTGTTTTTGTACTGTTCAACACATCGATAAAGAACTTAAAAATCACAATACTAAAAATGCATACAATAAAAAGACTAAATGTATGTAAACCCTAACAATTACCTTCTCTTTTTTGCTTCCTTTTAGTCTGTTAAATAAACCATTGAAAGTGCTTTGTTATATCTGTTTGCTAAAGAAACTTTTGATCTTGCCAGAAATCCAGTGCTGTCCTGTTCCTTGTACACACTGCAGTGTAAGGTTCCTTTCAAACTAGTGGACTGATTGGGTCCACCTGTCTTTTTTTCAAGCTAACCAGATCGGACCCTCCAGTCTCCTTCTTGAAGCTGCAGATGTAAAGGGACATGTCCCTTTACACCCGCCTAAATCCGATCCGCTAAAAACAGATGGATAGGAATCCATTCCCCATCCGTGTAGATGATCAGATCGGATGGCAGTAGGGTGTAAATGGATAGAAGCAGGGGCGGACTGACCATTTGGAAAACTCGGGCACTGCCCGAGGGCCCGGGGTCAGTAGGGGGGCCCCATGAGATGCCCCTGGTACCTTTTTCATAGGCTTTTTTGAGTTTGTGCAAGGACACAGGGGCCCCATGATCCCCTATTGCCTGGGGGCCCCATGAGTTGTCAGTCCGCCCCTGGATAGGAGAACCCATAGAAGAAAGAATGCTGTGTCTATGTCTGCATAAGCGGAGTGGACACGGACCAGCCATCTGCTTGCTTAGGGGATCAGCAGATAGATCCCACACTGAGCAACGGACACCAATGGAGCCCGCCCCATGTGGAAGGGGCCTTAGTAAGAAGCATGTTAGGACAAAAGAGTCCCTCAGGCTCTGTTATAGAGAAGAGGAGACAGGGCGGTGTTCTTTAGCTTGAATACATTTCCTGTCTCAGGATGGCAATGCTGCTCCTCCATCGACACCATGAAGGAGCACTGTTACCCTAGGGCAGGGGTAGGCAACAGCTCTCTAGCTGCTGTGGAACTACATTTCCTATGAGGCATTGCAACATTACAAAACTGACAGTTACAGCTATGACTTGCAGAGGCATGATGGAACTTGTAGTCCTGCAACAGCTGGAGAGCCACAAGTTGCCTACCCCTGCCCTAGGGCATGAAGTGTATTACTGGGTCACTGGGTGAAAATAAAGGGCAAAAGCCTAAAAAAAAAAAGTAGCCACTACATAAAAAGACTACTGTTAAGCTGCAATATATTACATTTTTATTCTTGGGTTGAGATACTGGTAGGTCTTTCAATATTGTGCGATCGTTGGCAGACTTCATTTTAAATAAGCAAAGCCTTATCTTTCTTTCACTACCCCATTGATGGTTTGAGGACCACACAGGATGAGCTTACGAATCTAGAACATCACCATGAAAAGATGAAAATAAGAATCCTGCCCACGATTTCTTTTATTTCTTTTCAAACTGACAGACAGATTTTGTGAAATCCTGACAGGTGGATTATGTAATTAAGGTTGATTAAATAAAGCATGACTAGATTTTACACCTTTAACATGTCAGGGTTGTTGGATCATTTTGTTCTGAGGTGGAATCTAAATGACTAAAGCGGATATTTAAAGCTCTGCTTCATTTCACTTGGTGGTTTACAGCTCCCCAAAGGGCAAAACATCTTGTATTTCTTGAAAGCAAATCTATACTTCAGTGTCAATGCAAAACAGACTCTGGAGGGCCCCAGCCAGCAGTTTCCTTTATGAATGTTTTATATGAGGAAATTCATATTTTCATACTAAAGCACACATAATTCAGCTTACATCTGCAGAGCAAATACTCCTTCAGTGTAATTCTTGGCATGCGAAAAGTAGATCATATCACGAGGATTTAAGAAACCAAAAGAATCTTGCTGAAAAGAATAAAATAAGTGTGCAGTGTACCGAATATAAATGCAAACTGCACTTGAGGGGTATTTTAAAATCAGTTATTGCCGAGCCAAAAGCTGCAGTTTGGCTTCAAGGATGGATACTGACGGTTTACACTGCTGTTTTCAATAAAAAGAGATTTGTAACCTTGTAAGATTTCTGAATGCTTGGAGACATA